AGGGACGGCTAGCGCAGATAGCCCTCGTGTAGCTTTGCGCGAAATTCAAAACAAACAAACAAACAAACCACTTTTGTACTCGATACACCTTCACAGCCTTATCAGAAACGATTTCACCTACTGTTCGGTCCAACTGGACATAGCAATTATAGTGGCTATTGACCAGGGCTCATCAGGCCGTCTGGGATTCGACAAATACAGTAATGGTTGATGTTATGATGTGAACTGATTAAGTTATTTACAAATCAGAACAAGGGGAAGGAGTAATAACTCAGTGTTATTTATTGATTGATTTTTAACACCAAATATTTATAATTACGTACTCTTACTCCCATTAACAATACATATTATTCGGAGAAAATGGGCCCCCCCAGTGGCACAGCGATATGTCTGTGGACTTACAGCGCTAGAAACCGGGTTTCGATACCCGTGGTGGGCAGAGCACAGATAACCCATTGTGTAGCTTTGTGCTTAATAACAAACAAATAAACAGAGAAACTAGAGGACTAGCAAGCTAGTGTCATTGCTCCCGGAACGGATCAAACAACTACAGCGTCTGAGGCAGAAATCTATATTTGTTTGTTATTAAGCACAAAACTACACAACGGTTATTCTTGTTTTTTCCACTCTGAGTATCAAAACCCGATTTTCAGCGTTATAAGCCTTTAGGCTTCCCGCTGAGCCACAGAGGGCTATTAACTTAGTAATTCTAAGAACTTAATACATCGGGGGGGGGTAAACCTACTTCAAGGTTCGATGACGAGGAACTCACTTTGAGACTAATAATGGCTGGAGACGGCTTGAATGGGTAATGAAGAAAAACTTTAATATAAGTTTAACATAACATCAAATGTACAACGTTTCGACAAGGTTTTGTCATCATCAGGTACTACTTCAAGGTTACCACTTTAACACAACTTATAGCCTTGATAAGGATTTTTCTGTTTGATCACGCTATTTTTTCTATTTCTACATGTGAACGTAAGAAACACTAATCTAATTACGCTATTTCCTATTCTTTCCGTGTGGATCTCTTGGCACTTTTGACTTTGTATTGTAATACCAGATCATTTTGAAAGGTTGTCTAGGTGAGCTTTTTGTATGACAAATTAACGTAGAAAAACAGTTGTTTGTGAAGATACGTAAATTTTATGTGACTCTTTGTGAAGCACTATTATCACAGTTTGAAGGTTACTTACATTTAAAGTCTGTGAACCACTATTATCGCAGTTTGACAGTTACTTACATTTAAAGTCTGTGAACCACTATTATCGTAGTTTGAAGGTTACTTACATTTAAAGTTTGTGAACCACTATTATCACAGTTTGAAAGTTACTTACATTTAAAGTTTGTGAACCACTATTATCGTAGTTTGAAGGTTACTTACATTTAAAGTTTGTGAACCACTATTATTGCAGTTT